TGTACTTTACAAATTATTTTCTTTTAGCGCGAAAATTATACATAAATTTTTGGACTCGCGCGTCATAATCTTCTTGTAACTTCTTGCGAAAAGCGTGAGATGTGGCGACGGTTATTACCATAAGGCCGAGGAAAATTCTTGACCCAGTACTTTCGTGAGAGTTGAAAGACTGCGTTGGTTTGAGTGGACTTTGAAATACAGCGTCATCAGGTTGAGCGCGTTGAGTTTTTGAGCAAGTACCAGCTGCTACTCGTCGCCGTTTAGCATCGCTAATGTCGGAGAAGTAGCCATTTTTCCTCAACGGATCCTTCTTAATTCATTATTTGGACGGGTGACATCGCTTTTGCATTGCGCATCTAATAGTCGAGTTATTACAGCGATAACCAAATCTCTTCGTCTTCTTGTTTTATTTTAACGTGGAAGAATTCAAAGTGCTCTCATCAAGTGCTTACACAAAATCCAAGTTATATATGTATTGTAATCGTAATCAAAATTTTTGTTCAAAAGAATCGCTCGAGACAGTACACGATGTGAAATCTTGAAAGAGAGTTTCGAGGGAAAATTAATGTCTTATGAATTTTCCGACTTCGTCACGCTCGTTTGAAGTGACGCGAGATTTTCGCACCCTTAACTGTCAATCGGCGGTGTCATTTATTCCTTTAAAAATAGCCAGGCGCGAAAAAAAGCCACACGCGATAAGGCGGGAAGCGACGTGACGCGAAAAGGGGTGGAAAGAACGGCGGTTGTACGGGCTGACAGAAGGATAGCATTGTTCGGAAGTACAATGTACGTTGTTATGCCAAAGCGGCATGCACGACCCTCGAGCACAATAGCGCCGACGCGGGGAGGATCATAGCGCGCGAACCCGCGAACGGAGAATACGCGTCGTCAGTTTCGGCACAGAGACTACAACTTTTCTCTCTCTTTTTTTTCTCTCTCTCTCTCCCTCTCTCTTTCTCCCCTTCCCTCTCTTTCTCTCACGCGAGTTTCCCTGGCACACTTTTTTTCCGATACTGTTTTTTCCCATCCATGAATTATGGCTCACGGTAGAACGATTCTCGAGCACTCGCGCTTTTTATGGAGCCGTGGCGCCGTTCATCACCGCAGGATGTTCCCGGATACACATCCCGATAATTAAAGCAGAGCAGAATTTCGCGCGCGCGGGACGCGAGTCGAGCCTTATTTATTTTGAACATTGCCTCTCTTTTTCTCGGCAAGAAATTTTCTCGTCTCGGATTTTTGAGCCTCGTAGTAAATAACAGAATTGCAAGCACGTGTGACCCGATCAAGAGCAATATCCAATATGAAAAAAACATTGACAACAAATATTTGATAGTATAATTACAAAAAAACTTTTTAAAATAAAAAATAGTATAAGTTTAAAGTTTATCTTACGCACAAAAAATTTCACAAAAATAAAATTTGGCGGTGTATTCTAGAAAATTATGTGCGAATAATTAAAACTCAACAAATTGATATAAAAAAAAGTACATAAAAACAAACCGTTTTGCGAAGTGCTCAATTTTTGCTCAATCAAATTTTGCTCAAGTGAATTATGAATTTATTATATACGTTGCAATATGTGTTTTAGTTGTAATTATCACAGCAGTTCGAAAGCACAAACGCGTCAGAAACAGCTGCAAGTTTCGCCTGCAAGTGATAGTCGAGCGCCGAATTCAAAGCTCGCTCTCGTATATTTTCTCGCTCTCGCATATTTTCTCGCTCTCGCGGCAAACGGGAATGAAAAGTCCGTTTCTCGACTTTTCCTTCACGGCCAATAGTTTGTTTGCCTCGTTCTAATTTTTTTTGCTGCACGTTTCTTTCCATATGCGTGTGCGCTAATGGATCTGATGTTTTTGTGAAAACTGCCAATCTAAGATTACCGGCAATCGGAAAATTTCACAGAGATATTAGTTTTAATAATATTATAAAATATTGCTACAAAGATTTTACTTGTCAATCTGTTTTTTTTTTCAGAGACAGCTTGTTAATAATATTTTACAATTTATGTTTTAATTATTAAACAATAGTTTTGTTTATCCCGTGTTTTTTTGTTGCAAGTTTTGCTCTTGTTATTTAGCTGTTGTCTTTTCTTTTTGGTTTTACTTTTTTATATTCATAGTTTTTATCAACAGCACAAAATCATTTCTTCTCGCGGGGTTCCACGAAGATACGCCGTGTATCTTATCAATATTATTAATTTTATCAGTCAAGTAACTCTCTTTATTCCGATAAAATTTCATTACTCGTAATTCTCCACAGCAAGTTTACATATAATTTAATATTCGATTTCACATAGATAACTAATTAGTCTGTCTAAGAAATTGTCAAGAGGTAGTGAAGAAAAATAATTCAGTTTATTAAAACTTGAAAATTTCTTAAAATAAAAAATTACATAAAAACTCCTATTTAATAAAATCGATTGAAAATTGTTTATATTGATTGAAAAGAAAAATAAATTTTGATATTTAATCGTATCTGATAAAAAAAAATGTTGATCTTTAAACATATCAATTAATGGCTTTCTGCGTCTTTAATCTCGCAATTTCAACCATTGCGTCGGAAAGCGCGCAATCAACCCCCATTTATGAAAGACCAATGTAAATTAGTATTCTTCTCGAGGAGACTCGGAATAGCTGACCCAGTGAGAGATTACTCACTCACTCTCTGTCACAATATTAGCCTCTGAAATTCCATCCTGAAACTCTTTTTTCTTCAACTTTCGAACTACCAGAGGGAGATATTCCCTTTTAAGTGCCCTAGCTTCATGTTTAATGAAGGGACGTAGAAGAGAATGATCCGGGATGGGGTTAAACATTGGGAACCGGACGAAATGAATTGAAGAGGGACGAAAAAGCGGCAGGTGATAACATCAGAATGTAATTGAAACTTTCGCGCTGCTGCTCCGTCATTTTTCTGTCTGTCATTTGACGACGACGACTACGACGACGACAACGACGACGACGACGTCGACGTCGACGGCGACGCCGACATCTGGATTCATTACTTATAGTCTGGCACCGCTCGGTTATTACGAAACTTACGGTGTCTTGGGATAGTAATTAAGGAGCCCTCTCACTTCTATTCTTTCTTCGAACGACGTTGTACTAATTAAGCCGCGAGCGCCGGAATCTTGAATAAAGCCGGTTTTAAAAGAAAAAACGTTTAGAGCATCGAAATTATCTCGGTCGCATCGTTTAAATATAGCGCTTTATAAAAAAATCACTTAAGATGTAAAGAAGCGGCATACATATTATCTGTTTGAGATAATCGTTTAAATAAACTTCGGGACAAAAGTTAAATAACTATTAAAGAAGTTTTGCACAATAATTATATAACAAAACAAAGACAAAAAGGGATACTGTGGATCCAAAAAATATTGGTTCACTCACATTTTTCAAAATATTTTTAATTTATAATAAAGTGATATATTGATACAAAATATGTCTCCATTGATGTCTTCTCATGATATACAAAAGCGGTGTATTTTTTAATAACTTCTTAATATTGTGATTGAAGCAAAAAAAAAAAAAAAATTTTATACTCAAAAAAGTATTAGCACACTTGCGTTTTACATACGAAATACATAATTCTCTTAAAATGTTTAATACGAGATAAATATTTAATCTTGCACTCTGTAGTAAATTATCTCGCACGACACATCGACACGCATTCGTAATTTCTTCGATAAATGTTAAATTTTTAACTTCATTATAAGACAAACAACCCCAAACTATTATATGTATTGTTATTAAAGTGTAACTATTTTATTTAATAACATGTAACTGTCACACTAGTGAGTGTGTCTAATACTTTTTAGAGCCACTGTATATGTGATGCTTTAAACGTCAGTCTTTATTGCTCTTCTAATATAAAACAAAAATAGACCGACGCGATCAAAGAGCGTCCAAAGCAAACGCACCTAATGTTACGAATGTAAATTTCTGAGATTTATCTGCGTTTCCCACATGCGCGTGACTCTGATTCTCGCGCACGTACACGTTATTTATTATTTAAACATAAAAATATCGATGCCAAGTTTACGTAATTAAAGGTAAGAATAGCGATCGATAGCGATAAATAAATAAAGTAAACCACATCGTGAATAACGGCATACATTAACGTCACCGTCTCGTTGCAACGTGATTAATGCACAAACGTGTACCGTGGCAAATAATTGTTGCCGTTACATGGTACTATGTTGTTGATAAATTTACTCACGTGTTGTATAATCACTTCTGTCTGGACTTCGCGATTATTTTAAATTCACGCGTATGCGCGCGCAAAATCATATTCCCATAAATTTTTATATAAACTTTATGTAAACTTATACATTTATTAACACATTTCTTAACACATATATTTATTAAAACTTAATTATTTATTTATATATTATATATATATATTATTTATATATAGTATCACATTAAATTTTATAAAACACGTTTAGAAATTTTTATGTTATTTGGTTTTTAATTTTAACACGATTTCACACCGGCAACGTGATATATTTTGTGCGGTCTTCATGACTTTCAAATATTATATTGTCGACGAAAACGATCGGCGAAATGGTGAGCGAATTGCTATCGAAAAATTAATCGCTCCGCGGTGATCTCGCGTCATCGCGTTTTACAACAATCTGCAGAGGGTAGATTCGCTTTTCAAAAATAATATTCGCGCGAGGACGCGTTATCGCATTGTCGATTTTTCACGCTCGCGTTCGTACCATTTAAAACCGTTGCGGTTCCGTACAAATCAATTTACGCGAGAGAACATAAGTGCATAAGCCTTTGAATGAGCGCAAAACGCTACTCCGCGCACAAATTGTGTCACAATTACAATTTATACTTAACACGCTGTGTCCCGATCTTGTAGTTTATATTTTATGCGCAATTTGCATGCGAACGACCGTCGAGATTCGCGTGTGCCAAAATTCGCGCGATTTGTCACACGGACCGAAATATCACTGCATCGCTTTAATAATAATTTTGCGATTACAGTGGCCTGCTCGACGGTGACGGTGACTAAGTGTCAAGCGGCTCTGCGCACTCTGCAGGGTTTCCCTTTCTTCAAACCGACATGCCTCTGCAGGGAGCCGCATGTCGATCCGGACTGCAACAGCTTCCTGAACTTCGTATTTGACCATCCATGTAGCGTGGTAGAATGGAAAGGTAAGAATGTTCAAAAGATTGTATACTGTGGTGTGTATATTGTTCTTTTCGGGTGAAGTTCCGAAAAGCTGAACCCTCTGATTTTGTTGTCGATTGGTATACTACTGTATTTTGGCGCGCTGATTACAAATATGATCATGAAAATTACCGACAAGGTCATTTCCATAATCAAAACTCAACAACACTCAAAAATTATCATATTTTTTAACATTATTTTATTAACTATTTATGTAACAAAAATTGTTTCACATAAAAGTTGTAGCTCTTGAAAAAATACATCATTTATGCTGTATGCATTTTTTGCATAGAACCACTAGTTTTCGAAAAAAAGTAAGATAATAGGAATATAGGAAAGATCTCTTGGTTGCAACATCAGCTACTTCTTCTTTGATCTTTATGAAACTTGGTATCTGTATGTAATTTTATTTGCTAAAAAGAGATGTAAAAGAATTTTTTGTCGGTGGACACAATTAATCTGCCAACTTGAAAAGCGTTTTTTACGATTATCCGAGAAAAAAGTGGAAGGGAAGAAGCAAAGCTCCTGCAGGAAAGCAAAACCTTCTTGCCTACGATGTAAGTGTGATGTAGTGTATTCAAACGTTTAAATCGCTCCGATCCAAATGTTACACAGATGAAGCACTATGCATTGTGCTATCAATAATACTTTAGTGACACAGAGTTAAATTAAGTTAGGTTAGGTTAGATTAGGTTTTTTTGCGGGGAGTGCAGGAGAGCGCAGCCCTCCCTGCTTACATACTTACATTACAAACAAACCTCAAAATTTTTTAACATAAAAAACGAAACTTTTTTATGTTTATGTTGTAAGTGTGTAGCCAAGGAGATTTTGCTTCCCTACAGGAGCTTTGCTTCTTCCCTTTCACTTTTTTCTCGGATAATCGTAAAAAACGCTTTTCAAGTTGGCAGATTAATTGTGTCCAACCGACAAAAAATTCTTTTACATCTCTTTTTAGCGAATAAAATTACATACAGATACCAAGTTTCATAAAGATCGAAGAGGTAGTAGCTAAGTTGCAACTTTACCGGGAGGTCTTTCTTATATTCCTATTATCTCATGTTTTTTCGAAAACTAGTGGTTTTATGCAAAAAATGCATATAGCATAAATGATGCATTTTTTCAAGAGCTACAACTTTTATGTGAAACAATTTTTGTTACATAAATAGTTAACAAAATAATGTTAAAAAACGTGATAATTTTTGAGTGTTTTTGAGTTTTGATTATGAAAATGACCTTGTCGGTAATGTTCATTATCATATTCGTAATCAGCGCACCAAAATACAGTAGTATACCAATCGACAAAATCAGAAGGTTTAGCTTTTCGAAACTTTATCTTTTTTTCCTCGCGCAATTGCGAGAATAAAAAGGGCTTTATATCTAGAAAAAAATCGGATCTAAGAAACACTACATTTATTTTCTGCATTTAAGTAGTAGTATGTGAAATAAAAGCTCTCTTGAAGCTTCGATTTTAATTTGAGTTAGAAATTGGTCTAAGAGTATCAGGAAAAGCACGCGATTTTATACTCAACGAGACGTCAGTGAATGCCAATCGGAGTTTTCCTGAAGGGCGAACCTGCGAAACAAAGGTCTGGCGGTATCTTGGATCCCGCCGTTCTATATAAGTTCGTTCCTTGCAGGCTTCATTGTTAATTTTCCCGAGGGCTCGCTCGTCCGCGCCGCCGAGTCTTTTGAGCTTTTCCAAATGATTCACGGATAATTCCCGATGCGCCTTTCTTATCGGTCCATTTGCTCGTCTATCTGTGCGTTTTTTTTTCGCACTTTACACTTCGAAGAAAATGGTCGTTTTTACTGTTTGAGCACACAGATGGATAACTTTTATTTTTGGATATTATCGATCGCGCCTCTCAACGCAATGCTATTGACAATGCTATTGGCATTTGCTTTAGAAAAAGTTCACTTTTCACTAGCAAGATTTTCTTAATCTGAATTGAGATATTATCTAAATCCCATTTATTTTGACAATAAAGTAACAACAGTAAATTAATTTAATAATTATAACGAGTAAATTGATCTTCTGTATTCTTTCTCGTGAAAACTTATGATGGTAGAGAAGTGGCCAATTCGAAGCAATAATCAGATCTTCGTGTCAATAAACTTTTTTATTTTAAAAAACTTGACAAACGTTTCGAACTTAATTTGGGTCTTCTTCAGTGTACTATACAATAATGCCGAAGTAAATTGATGTTTTTCTATAATTGTATTATTTTTGTCACAGCATTTGACATAAAATTATCGTGTTTTTTGTTTTTTATTTCCAATATGGGAGTCACTTTTATCAAATGTACAATTAGGAAACGTCAATCGTGATTTGTGCAAGAATTATGATAAAATCGGAAATAGAAACTGGAACGTATCGATATCCAACACGTATCGCGTAGTGCAAATTAGCGCATCTGCCGATGACCGAGCTAAACCGCGCAAAGAGGCGTGAGTGTAATTCGATGAGGTAATAAGTCGCGCAATTAGACCACTCTAAATCGCGGCTTAATTACATTTATCCTGCCGAAAGCCGGTCATACGGGAGCGCGGATAATGGAAACCCCACGGCGCAGCCGGCGCCGCGTCGAAACCAGGAAGCTTCGGCACTTAATGAGATTAAATTCGCTCCTGTGCCTCGAAAAAGGAAGAGGAAGTAGGAAGCGAGCTGCAGAAAAAAAAAAAAAAAAACAACTAGCAAACCGCAGGCTAAATTGTATATATGCACGTTGTGTGTATGTGCTAACTCTCTCTCTCTCTCTCTCTCTGATACCGGAGATCAAGCGGGGTAGATTTTTCAAAAAGCCTCTAAGCCTCTTATATAAAGGGATGCAACGCGATATTTTATACAGATTTAAAGAAGATCAAAACAATGAAGTTCTGAAAGTTTGTGAAGATTATAAAATCTCGCTACACTCTCTCTCTCGAGCGTGAAAAGTGAAAAAGATTTCTTCGGAAATTTCTTTCTCGATCTCAGTATCATGAGATTTTTTTTGCGATATATATATTTTTTGTTTTATCGCTTTCGATTTTGTTTTATCGGTTCGAGAATATGTAATTTTTCCAATTATGTAAATTGTTTGCGTTTCGGGAAAAATAAACTGCGATAAAACCGGCGATTTAAATCGACTGCCGAAGAAGATAGCCGGGTTTATCAACGGTTTGATCTCGAACGGGATGCAAAATATAGAGCATAGGATATGCGCGAGCTATAAAATAAAAGAGCGGACAGAAAGAGAGAGAGATAAGAGAGTGACCGGTCAACAGGCTATTTCTTTACTTTTCCGACAAGGAATGGGCTCAGAAGGGAGAAACATAAAAGCGATCGCCCTCGGGAAAACGTGAAAACATGCATCGATAACCGATCGTGAACAAAGTATAGTAGTGAATAAACTACTTTCTGGCTTCGCAAATAAGTTACGAACGACCGAGCGAATAATGCGAAACTAGTTAGTTATAGAAAATTGCAACAGGAATTTCGAGAAAGTAAAGAATTTGTGTAATGTAATCATATACACTGCGTATATATTATGTTCTTTATCATAAAGTAGTATTTGCCTAGCTTTAAGTTGGCAACAGTGTAAAAGAACGATGAGAGCTTAAAAACGCGTTATGTAACATCAAAATGTAGTCAAACTGAGCAAAACTCTCTTTCATGAATTATTCTAATTTATTCGCATATTTTTAAATAAAAAGAATTCTTTATTTAATTTCTCTCCTCAGACAACAATCCGTATCCAGAGCCGGAATTGCTGACATGTAATCATGCACTCAACACGTGTACACATCAGAAGCATTGCAATCAGGTGTTCAAGGACTTTAAGAACAATTGCAAGGTTCAAGTCGATCAGTGCAAGATGGAAAATCGGTGAGTGAGTCAATATATTATTCATCTGCTGTTTGTTTATTAATCCATTACATCGGCGCGTTTGTTGCGCCGTCGTGATATTACGCGAATAAAATAAAATCAAACAATATTTAAATGTGATTACTGAATAGTTGTATTAATATTTGAAAACGCTAGCGCAAACTTTCGTGTAACATACGATAAGTTACAGTTTAATTTTTGTTCTATTATAGATATTTGTGTGTGTTTCAAAATCCGCACAAAATCACTTACACGCAACTTAATTAAAACAAATTAAACTTATTAGGAAATTATTTACATCAGCGGCAATAAATAATTCAAAACGGTAAACTGTATTTTTGGACGGGAAACGAACGTCCGCGCGAAGACAAACGGCGCGCCGATGAGCGCCACGGTTAATTAATTGTTTGCATGTAATTAAGTAGGAACAAAGTGGGAGAATCGTCGCGCGCGGGACATCGGCGGTAAATTATGTTTTCCCGGGCGTAGTTTTAAAAGTTTTAAAAGCGAACCAACGCGGCTATCTCATTTTATCTCGCCGCGGAAATTCCGCGGTCACTTTGTCCCGATCCCATTAAACCCCCGAACCCCTCTACTTCAGTATCGTAACTCCCCGACGCGAGTTAACGCCGGACTCTGCAAACTTTCGAGATCGGCGATATATCCGAGAGCGAGCCTAAAGCTGCGATTCTGCCGCGCATCATGAACTACGTTTACCCAGAGTGAGAGAACATCTCTAACTTTTTTGAAAATAAAATTAAGCAAATTTCAAAACAAAATTTTATTTTTATTCAAAATATTTATTATTCAAATATTGTTTTATATTTTTTTATATTAAAATATCAACGATATATCTCAAAACTGACATAAAGGTTTTTAATTTTTCACAAAAATTTTTATATTATTGATTGACGAGTGTGAAGAAGATAAACGAGAAACAAAACAACTTGATTTTTAATTTTCCCGAGACACAATTTTGTTTTGTCGAAGTCGAATTTGCGACAAGCAGCGAATGTGCCGCTTTAAAACTCGCAGTAAACACTTTGGGCAGAACGAAGGATACGAGCAATATATCATTCCGTTTTCCCGAATGACAGTCGTTTCTCTGTTGCCATCGTAAAGCCATTAACAGGCGCGCGCGTTCGTCGTGCACGCACTTTTTAATTACGACAGTTCTTCGAGTCGAAAGTTTACGAGCCATCTTGCGCGGCGCGTAACACAGCTCATATTTTTCCTATGATGTTTCACTCTCGTCGCGATCTAGTTTTCGTTCTCGACCACTCGATTCAACTCCGAGATCGAACAAATCGCATAGATACATAGAAATGTAGATATTACATGTGACTTTTCGACACACAATAACAAAATAATCACAATAACCGCGGTAAATAAAATACGTTATAAGAGTCTAAAGATTTTTTTATTAAAAAAAAAAAAAAGAATAAATTAGTCGCAATATCGTTCTTTGATTCTCGCCGACGACAACGCAATTCGAGTAGCAACGCTACTTGTTGTTGGCGAAACATCAATAAACTAATAGCCGTTAAAGTAGCGCGGGCGCGTGCGCGCGCGCGCGCAAATTAGTTCATTAATCGCGCAAAGAGACGACGCCGGGCGTTGCCGCGGCGTTAAAATCATCAGGTCGAAAGAGAGTATCGTGGGAAAACTACGAACTGTATTCCCGGAAGTAGAGTCGCCGAGCGAGGCAGCAACTGCAGTCGCATGCAACGCCACATAATTTCCTTCGTGGAAACGGATTAGCTCTCGCTGCACTGCCGCCGCCTCGTTCTCTTCACTTCGTGGCCCTTGAAGTGAACGCGGAAAGAGAACGTATATGGGTCAACTCGATCGATCCGGGTTGTACCCACGCGGAAGCGACGCGTAAAATAGAAAAATTTTGCACGTGTTATAATCGCGTGAAACGGATGCAAATCCAAAATGTCGGGTAATTAAAATCATACGTCACGCGTAACTGTTTCAAACTGGTCTACATTATTCCCGTCATATTCCTCGCCCTAAGAAATATTCGTTTTTTCTTTACATTTTTACTCTCCCGCTCGTCGCTCGAGATGAACTCGACTTCCAGGAAGTATAACCGGCTGCGGTTTTTACCGGCGAGCATTAATTAAATTAACGGGATCATTAATTGTGGCCTCTCTCGGGTTGCTCGAGGATTCCGTATCGCAGTAAATCTGCGCGGAGCTGCTCGGAGAAGGAACGACTTTGCTTTGCGGCGAACTTCGCGTCTTTTACAAAGTGATTAGATGTTTGCAAGAAGTGTACGCCGCGCGTTATCTTTTTGATATTTAATTAAAACATGTGCAAGAAAGCACGCAAATAAGTTAATTTATATTTATTTCTTTTGATGAAATTTAGTAAGTATAGAAAAAAAAATGTCAAAGTTGTTATTACGTAAAAATAGAAAAACTTACTGCAAAAATGATCGCGCGAGAGTGCAGCGCAATATTCAATAAGTGTCGGCGATACTTCGCCGCGCGGCGCGAGACGCTATGAAATATTATTAACTCGCGCTTTTGCGAGTCGCGTCACGGATGCAGTTCACCGCAAATTCCGAAGAAATCCGTGAAGTTTCTGAAACCCCTCGGTCTTACCGCACTTTCTTTCGCGACGACAGAGCGTTCGCTTCTCTGTTCGTAATAACATTGAAATTCAATCCATCGTTCCCGCCGATAAAAGTAAACCTCGCCGACGAAGTCTCTCGATCATCGGTCTTTATCCTCGTTCCCATTTTCCTTTAATCTGCGATACCGAGATCGAGCGCGCGAGACTCGTCCACGAGACTCTCGGCTGATCTCGATATCGCGGATTAAAGATTCGCCGCGATCGATAATGTTCGAGAGACTCCGTCTCTCTCTCTCTCTCTCTCTCTCTCTCTCTCTCTCTCTCTCTCTCTCTCTCTCTNTCTCCCTCTCTCTCTCTCTCCTTCCCTCTCTTCCTTTCTCTCTCTCTCTCTCTCTCTCTCCCTCCCTCTCTCTCTCTCTCTCTCTCTCTCTCTCTCTCTCTCTCTCTCTCTCTCTCTCTCTCTCTTTTTCTGTGTTTTTTCACAAGATCAGCCCGGTCATTCAACCCAATTAATAATTGCACTCACAACATATAACAAACATTATTACATAATATAGTCTCTTTATTGCTGAGAGCAATATCCGTAATAATAATCTGCGTTGATCGACAATGTTGATTTAACAATATAAATATAATAAGAATAAAAGAGAGAGAAAGAGAGGAAGAAGTTAATTTATTACTTCCTCATAATAGATAAAGATAAGACTTTTTTTTTTACAGTAAATATTAATCCTTCGCCTGTAGACCTAAAAAAAACCTACGAATAGAGGAAGGTGGGGCAGGACGGGATAGTTAAGGTTTAATGATGAATAAAACACAAATTTTCATAATCAACGAAACAACTTTACTTCTTAATTATTCTTTGGTAATCAGTCTTTTGATTAAACTATAAATAAACCATTTCTTTAAAGCTTTTCATACTAAAAAAATTAATAATTCAGAAAAGTTTCTTTTTCTCCATCTTGCCTCACGGGTGACGTAAGAGGGGGCGCCCTCGTAGGCAAGATGAGGTATCTATTAACAAATGATATATAAAATCCATTATTTACTAGATTGACAACGGAAGCACACGTGTAACTTCATCATCATTGTCTTCTATATTTGCACACGAGCAATGAGCCCATTTCGATAATAATCCATCTTATTTTCTAAAACAGCAGTAACCGCGTTTCGCATTGTTTCTTCGAACCAATTTCTCTGGTCCGTCTTTTGTTTGTAGTTTCTTACCATCCTGGAACAATGGTAAACTTAGATTTTATTTATACGTCTATGTGGGGCAAGATAGGGTAACGCAATTATATTACCCCGCCCCCTCCATCTTGCCCCTTCTTGTCTCGCTAAAATGATATCAACAAATTTCTTAAACATTGTTTACAAAAATATAAAATATCATTTTTTTGGCCTGCTAACTTCTGTCTTAGAAGCACACATATGGACAAAAGAACTTGAATATTTTTATACCAATGTCACAAGTGAAAGAATGTTCGAAAATAATAAGAAAATCGTCAAAAATGACAAATTGCGTGTAACTTTATTACACAGCCACATATCACGCCGGCTCGCTTATCACTAGTTAGCGACAATGGCGACACATCTAACGTATACACTCGATTGTGATTGGTGCGTTTCAATCATGTGATACAGAGGCTACCCCGTCTTGCCTCGCCCCTCGTCTTGTACTATCTTCCCCTACTGTAGATTACTAGATCTGTAAAACCTACGCGACTTTAAGATAAAATATCTCTGCAAAAAATCAATATTTTTAAAATTTGGTTTTTTTAAATAGAAAGTTTGAATAATTCTGCGTCGATCAAAAAAAGAAAAAAAAACAAATTGAAAACATCTCCAATAGTTTCGAAGACATAAACGTTTAACGAAAAAACAATTTTTTTCAAATATTTCACAGGTCGCAGTTCCTGTAATCGCCAATTGCATACTCTGCGCGCTATAACCTAACCTAATAAATTGTTGTAAATGTACATAAATTTGGACAAAATTATGAAAAAAACATCAACAAATAGTTGATATATTACAAGTGCTCAAATTAAAAAATTAATTTATTTACTTTTTGAAAAACTAACGTCTTGCAAAGATCTGGGTCTCTGTGTCAGACCTTTTTCACAACTACACTGCAAATCCAAGTGTGTTAATTTAANACACTTGACGTGTGTTTTTATTGAAGTCATTTTTAATACGTTTCTTAGTGTTTAAAATTGGAACACGCTTAATACGTGTTGATT